ATTGCAATAAAGCAAGTATCCCAGTAATGGGAGTCACATGAACTTTTTGGTTTCCCAGTACATATAAGAGTTATATTCACACTGTAATGTAGTCTATTAAGTGTGCAATACCGTTATGTCTAAAAATACGATATTGCTAAAAAATGCTAACCATTACCTGAGCTTCAGCGAGTCATAATCTTTTTGCTGGTGTTACCTTTAGTTTGTGAAAAACGCGATATCTGCGAGGCTCAATAAAGCGGAGCTCAGTAGAACATGGTATGCCTGTGTGGTTTGCAAACACAAAGGAAGGCGTCTTTAGTGCACTCCCCACTGGAGAGACTAAGTGAGATGAGAAGCATGTGCTTAGCTCTGGCTAAGGCTTAGGAAACACGTTCCAGAAGCCAGTGTGCTGTATCCAGGGCTTAGCACAGCACCCTGGCACATCCTAGGTCCTCAACAAACGATTTGTTGGCGCTGAAGATAATGTATGATTTTAGCTCAAGGACTTGTTCTCTTCGCCTGCTGCAAGCCAGGGACCAGCTGCCACCCAGTCTCCCTCCAGCTACCCCAGACCTGGAAACTGGAGCTCAATGCTACGTGCCATTTGTTTTCCTTTGGAAATGAAAAAGTAAAACTGGTGCTAAGTTATGTCACACAAGCTTTCATTGCTGCTGCTGTATTTCCTATTCCCTGTCCTGCCATACCTCCCCCAAGATACTTTTCCCTTTGAATTGTCCTCTAGAATCTGCAAGGTCCAGCTGAAGTCTGGGGGTCATATTTTCTGAGGGTGAAAAGCTGACCATCTGAGTAGCTTGTTTTCCTTCACGACTGTATGGGACTTATTGCCCCACTGCCAACTCCCCACACATTTGTCTCTGCCTCCCAATTGCCCCCTTTTTGCTCCTAATATGCCCACCTCTCAGAGACCACTTCTTAAACTCTAAACGGAATCTGAAGCCAGGGCCAAGCAGCTGGGCGGCATTAAGGGTGGGCCTGAGCTCCCTAAGAGTTCCTGCAAAGTGAAGCAGGCCCCCAGCGAATGCACTTTGGAATCCTTCACAATAGCCTCAATTTTATTTTGTTAGTGTAAAGTCTTCTGAAAGAGATTTAGGGACAACCACCTCCATCTTTCAAATAGGAATGATTCCACATTATAGGGTTGTTATAATAACTGTGAGGATAAAGTCAAATAATGAATGTGAAAGTGGCTTTTGAAAACAGTAAATGCCACCAAATGTCAAATAATATTATTCCAAGTAACATTTGGGCTCCATATATTGCCAAACTCTGTCTAGAAATATAGTTAGTTGCTTATTTCCCCTTGGGGATGCCCTCCTTACCCTGAGCTATGTGGCAAGTTTTCCAGGTGGACTGTGCCTCTTGCTTTTATCTGTGATCCCTCTGGTCCCTGTCATAACACCTTTTATGTAGTGGCCACTTGGTCAGTACTTCTCGAACTGGGTCACTTACAAGTTATTATTGTCTTGATCAAACTTCCTTTCTTTCTACACCTGTGGCACTAATTGAGAAATTTCCAAGTGACTGAACTGCCCCCCCGCCCCATCTAAGAGAATAAGAGACACAATGTGTGTTTCCCAAAGTCCTGGCATTGTAACGGTACCCTTTTAACTAGTTCACTTTTGTATGAAATGTGAGGAACACAGATTCAGACGTAAGAAGTGTCACAAATTGGAGACTTGAAGAATCAAGTTTTATGAGGGTGAAATAAGAGAAAAATAGGCCAGATCTACAAATTGTTTAAGTCCGTGTTGGAGTGCTTTTGGTCTCTTCTGGGATTTCCTGGAGCCCCGGAGACTGGTATTCACCATCCGCATATGCATATATAAAAATATACTGTCTATAAATAGCCACCTGCCTTTTCAGTGAAATTAAAGATGGGAGAGTTGGAAGAGAATTTCCTGGTATAATTACAGGGTTCAAACCTACAGCTGTTACACTCATAGTTCTACTCAGAGAATCTCTAATATCACTATTTTCTACAAGCACATTAAAAAAAAAGATTCTACTTTTCCTCTAACAGTAAAACGCTATCAACAGGACATTTATTCTTGCCAAGATTGCTGACATACCTGCTTTAAAAGATTGGGTGTTGTGTGCGGTTATTGTGGAGACTAATTTTGTTTTATAAACTGCAGAAAATTTTCACAAGAGTTTCTGCCCCTTATCTAGGGATTAACACCAAACTCCTGCCAATATTTCTCTTAACCTTTACATGTGCCCTTTCACAAACACTCTCCCTCACATATTTTCTGCTTAGATGCACCTCTTTAAAAAAAAATCCCTGAGCTTCTAAAAGTCTTAGGTAAGAATCAACTACAGGCTGCATGCGCAAATCCACTCCGCTTCTCTGCCCCATGTGTCCACCCCCAGCCTCTTCTGGGTGCAGACATGCCCGCCCCCCCCCCCCCCCCAAGCTGTGAAGATTTGAATAATTGGTGGAACAGGCCTGGATGATCCAGAAACCTTAGAAGGAAGAACCGAGAAATGTGTGCACAGTCCATCCATTTGGTGAGCCTTCTGATGCCTTAATCTTGGGGAAGATAGAGACTGCTGATTGCATCCTCTTTGCCAGGCATGGGAGGCAGCCTACCACCATGCCTTCAAAAGTCATCAGGCGAACATCTGGGCTCTGAAGGAGGAGGCTGTTCTCATGTCACAGTGACCACAGCTTGCGGTTCCTTGAGGGAAGAGAGTCAGCCGGTGGTATTATTGGCCAGTTCATCCCAGGACCACCATGAGGCCTCCGCCCTCCTGTGATGGGAGTCGTTCCTGTGCCAGAGTGTATGCCCTACCCCAGAGACTGAGCCACTCTGCCCGCTACGAGAGTTCCTCACAGAGGCGGCTAAGAAGCTAGGACTCAGGTGCCACCCAAAAGGGACAATGCTCACAACTGTAGGACTCGTTTTAGTTCACGGACAGAAAGCTCCATGTGTCACACCTGGGGGGCGGATGTCATCCACATGACCACAGTTCCAGAGGTGCTTCCTGCTAAAGAGGCTGGACTTTGCGAAGCAAGTATCGCCATGACAACAGATTAACATTGCTGGAAAGATCAGAAGTGGTTTCAGGGGACCAGGATTTAAAGGCCCTGAAAAAAAAAGCCAATAAGATTTACTCCTCACTGCCATACCTCAGATAGGGTCCATGGAATGGTCAGAAACCCTCCCTAACCTGAAGAATAAGGCCCATTTCTCTGTTTTATTACATTAAAATAGCATGGCTGCCCAGAAGATAAGAAGACTTTCTCATTCTAGTCCTTTGGGAAATTCCTGCTCGATTAGAAACGTAGAGAAGCTTTCATGCCCCTGCCCACTAAGGAAGAAAGGTGATCAGACCATACCAGGCCAGTGTGGAAGATGCCTTCTGAAAGACATGGACTGCTTCAAAAAACAGGGAAAGCCGACAACCAGTAAACATGTGGAAAAATCCCTACACCTTAGAAAAAAAGACAAGAGCACACCATCCCTCTTCCCTCATTAAATTCATAATAAAGGGTGGGAGGCGACATCCAATTTCCTATGTTGCCAAGGAATATGAAGACAAAATGGAACTCGAACTATTGGTATCACTGTAAATCGGTACAATCTTTCTGGAGAGAGTTGGGTAAAATCAAAAGGCTTAAAAATGCTTACACTTTGTTATGCAGGTTACTTTACTCCTCTTTAAAAAATTAAAAATGCATCCAAAGAACTATATATAAAGAAGGATGTTTAATATAGTGTTAGTTTTAATAGTGAATATTCAAAACCAACTGACTGTCCAAAAATTGGGGATAAATGATGGGTTAGCTCTAATTAGATTGTGAAGCAGCCAACTGAAGATCATGTTTTTAAATACTATTTAATTAATGTCCTAAAGAAGTGGTTGCTCTATACTATAAAATGAAAAAAAGGGTATGTAAGCATTTTACAGTACTAATTTTGTTCCAAAATTCTAATTAGCAGGCTCACACACATGGCTGATGTGTTTGTAAATGCACACACACAAAAAAAAACTAGAAAAAAAAATCATCATTTGTTATTGTATTTTGGAGGTATACGGGATAATTTTAATTTTCTTTATATTTTTGTCTTTACATTTTTTCCCATATGAATATAATGAAATAGTAACGTTATTTCAAAAATAAAAATTACTTAGAAAGAAAAAAAGAACTACATTAAGGACAACCACAACGTGAAAGGAATTAAACTGAGCACTTTTATCTCTGCTTACAAAAAAGCAGGTAGTAATTTATTCATACCCAGTCTTTGTTCCCTCAGTAAAGACCGATGCTCTTCCATCTCTGAGAGCCCCGACGGACCAGGCGGTGCTGGGGAGAGGAAAGGGACACATTTACGGGAGCAGTCACGCAGCTCTCCCCGCAGAAGGGTCTAAGTGCCTGTAGCAGTTAATTTGTGAGCAAAGAACCCTGTTGGGAGCCTTCCACCTACCCTAAAAGCAAACATTCTTCTTAATAGGCCATATTAGTGTGGTGTTAAAAAAAAAAAAAAAAGCATGCTTTAACCTAAAAGGTGTCATTTTATGAACAAAAACTGGATAAACCTTAAGAGACTAGAAGTGGCTATTTTTTGCCTTCCTGGATGCCCAGATCTTCCCAGGTGAGGTGACCTCACACCCATTGTGATGCTCAGACCCAGGAGGATCTTAGAGCTGCTCTCTGCACAGAGTGCAGCCGCGTGACTTCCTCCTCCTGGGGAGGACCGTCTGTCGCTGGCTTGCACTCTGTATTTGTGAAGCGCGCCAGCCTTGTGTGTGAGCCTGTTAATTAAAACAAAAACAGAACTGTTTCTGTGGGGCTTTAGAAGTGCAGAACCTTAGAGCCGAGGAAGGGAAGAAAAACAGCAGCATCCAGGCTACTGCTGGGTCTCCAGGGCCGCCTGAGAATGAGGCAACTGTATTGTGAAAAGCCAGGAAACAGCACCTGAATTAAAGAAGAGAGGCAGGTGAAAAAAAAAAAAAAAAAAAAAAAAGCTAGCAGGCTTGGAATTGGAAGTATTTAAGAATGCCTTTATCATTTCCCCGAGGGACTGTTTAATATCAAAGTGCCTGGATAGTGAAGGCTTCTCAGTCTAATCTGATTCCAAAGTCGGCTTCTGGGACAAGAGGGAAGAATAGCTTCAGTGGCTTCTGAGGCTTTTCCTGGGGTGAGGCCTGGAGTCTATTCCTGCCAGAGCTGCTGAGTCACTGCCACCTTCACTGCCACCTCGGGGAGTCACTTGACCTCTGGTTCAGTTGACCTAGAAGGGAGAATGCAGCTTACAGCTGAGGAATGCTCCTTAGGCAAGGCCCTTGCTATTATCTGGAATCGTCCCAGGACTTTCCCAGCCACCTGAACCCAAGGGACCTAAGTATTAACAATTCAGATAAGGTTCATCAGGATAATGCAAAACACGAATCAGTTTACACACACACACGCACACACACACGCGCGCACACACACACACCCCTTACTGAATTCTTCCCAAGAAAAGCAGACCAACAATATCTTCTAGTTCTCTCTGGAATACGTACTTCACCTCTGAAGGGAAGTAAAAACATGGATCAGATAGCAGCTCTTTAAAAGCGATGCTTATTCTGTACCTTCAGTCAGTTATCCAAAGCAGGATGTGAAAAGGCTTACCGGAGTGTGTGGTGGGTGGTGTGGACAGAGGCAGGAAGCAGCAACAACAGAAAAAAAATTAAGGGACACTTAAGGCATTCATGACCTTTTAAAAGAATACAATGAAAAAGAGACCTCATAAAAAAATGTATGCACACTTTAATAGCTGATGATCGCTCAATTGATGTTTTTTTTTTTTTTTTCAGATTTAACCCATTTTGGAATTGATAATTATTCAAAGTGTGTATACATTTTTGGGGGATACCCTATAGATCACCTCTTCCTCTTTGAGACCCATCCAATGTGTTTCTCCACACCTTGTTTCCATACCACTAAAGCTTAGTTTTTTTGGCTTACTGATATATATATAGGCACTGTAAACTAAACAAACATTCACTTGGTATTTTAAAAAAAATTTATTTTGTGATCTGTACATGTGATAAAGTGGGGCTTCCTTGTAGACTTTTAAAGGCAAAACAAAACAAAAATCCAAAGTAAAAATGTATAAATACAATATATATTTTCTTACAAAAATGGGAGATTTACAAAATATACATACCACACTTGTCTATTTTACAAATTTCACATGCAAGAGATACAACACAAAAGATGCCAAAGAACTGTGTAGTGGGAGTTTTAAAAATCTGACAAGTGAGACAGTTTTTGAGGTTTAAGAAACCCAAGGTCAATAACTTTCATATAAAAAGCAGCTCCACGCGACTGAACATTATAGAAAGTAACTTGTATTCCTGACAGTACCTTCTATGATTTAAAAACTGTTCAAAACAGCATTTTAAAACTGTTTTGAGAAATAGGACAGTGTTGCAAGATTGGAGGGTGGTGTCAAAGGTGGAGTAAAGGTTAGTTCCCATGATCCTCTGCTCAGCTTTAGACCATTATGCAAAAGAATCAGAGTTCTATTATAGAAAAAAAAAGTACATGATTTAAGATTAATAAATTTAAGTCACCCAGCACATTTCAAAGGACTCCAGCATTACTTTGAAGTTTACCTTCTTTTAATGACTTTCTTTAAGAAGGGGGCCCCTCATTTGAATAGTGCTCTTCATTTACTATCATTTCTGCAGGTCACCTCCCCACCCAGCCACACAAAGACGGGATCAGCATACACATGATGTGTTATAGATGGATTTATGGGACTATGGAAACAGGACAAAAATTTTTCTTAGTTCTAAAATTTAACTTGTCTGTATTATGGAGGCTGAAAACATTATGCTCTTCCTTTTACCTAGGAGGATTCAAGTTGGAGAAAAAATATAGAAAGAAAACCTACAGGCAGGTTTCTAGGAAGAAAAAAAATGAAGGGAGGGATTTCCCTTCACATTTTAACAGAGCCCATTTCATTGGATCATGTGTTCTAAATTAAAATTGATATAAAGCAAACAACAAACCCCCTTGAATTTCCTCTGGCCAAGTCAGAATCTCTGACCCAATGGGGGTATGGAAACACACTTGCCTTTCACCTTTCCTTAAAAAGGAATGTTTATCTCAACCAAATTAACATCCAGAGAGAAACCTCAGGTTTGCACTACTTTGCCTGTAAAATTTGCTGTCTTCACAGTGATGCCTTTCCTCAGAGAGACACTTTTGTTTCCTCTTTTGTCTCTTACAACAAAGACAAGGGGGAAAATGCATTCCTGTTTTGAAAAGCAACAAGTCATCACTTCTTTTCAGGGTATCAAACAAAATAAAACACCCTTCTTTCTTCCTCCGGCTTTCCCCAGAAAATAAAAAAAAAGCAGAAATACCTACTACTCCTTTGCATCATCTCCAAAGGCTACCTTCATTTCTTTTGCATCCTCACATTAGGATTCCAGGAGGCAGGCCTCCCAAGACTTCCAAATGCTTATTTTTCAAGACTTGAAAGGAGTAAGGGGGTGGGGGGTGGGGGAAGCAACAGGCGGGAGGGGGGCAGGGCAGGAGAGACTGTGGACTGTAATGTCTGACCCTGGAAATTAACCCATCTGGGCTCCAGTTTGGCCCCAGTGAAAAGAGATTATGGTTTGACCACCGCTTGACAAGGGCACCGCAGGGAGTCCACCCTTTTTCAACAAAGCGGCCGCCGCAGACAGAGCTGTACCTTTCACCCGGGCCTCACGGGAGTGAGGACAGGCCGCTGGTCTAGCAGCAGGGGAATCGCTCACAGCCCCAGGGCAGCCGGAGCTGGGAGACACTCAGCACTCCCTGCTGTTCTCACTCCTCTCCACAGGCCCAGGCCGTCCGTACCGTACATGACAAACACCATCGTTATTAGGATCATCATCATTATCCTGCAAGTCTTTGCCAGAAGTCCTTTCATCCAAACCGTCTTCCCACTCAGGCCTCCTTTCCAAACCTCGTCCCACACCCACAGAAACCTTTTCCCTTCCAGGTCACTTCTCCTTGGAGGGGGAGGAGGTTCAGGAACAAGCCCCCCCCCCCCATTTAGAAGTTCTTTCCCTCCCGCGCCTTTCCCTCTATTAAGGAGTGGGGGGCAGAAGGGGGAGGGCTCATACCGCAGTCTCCCCCTTGCTGCTGTGGCTGAGTCTGTGGTAGAAGCGGCGCCACGACTGTAGGGTTTTGCCAGACCAGATCCAGAAGCCGGTGGTGATGCCCACGATCATGGTCATCAGGTACTTGATCATGAAGACGGTGAAGTCGGGGCTCATGGGCGGGAAGTGGCCGGGCGGGCAGGGCACCGCGTAGCTCTTGCAGGTCTGCAGCAGCCAGGTGCGCTCCCAGTGTTCGCGGAAGGCCTGCTCGTAGAAGTAGCAGGCCAGCACGATGGTGGCGGGCACGGTGTAGAGCACGCTGAAGACGCCGATGCGCACCATGAGCTTCTCCAGCTTCTCCGTCTTGGTGCCGTCGTGCTTCATGATGGTGCGGATGCGGAAGAGCGACACGAAGCCGGCCAGCAGGAAGGACGTGCCGATGAAGAGGTAGACGAACAGGGGCGCCAGCACGAAGCCCCGCAGCGCGTCCACGCTGGACAGGCCCACGTAGCACACCCCGCTGAGCAGGTCCCCGTCCACCTGGCCCATGGCCAGGATGGTGATGGTCTTGACCGCGGGCACCGCCCACGCCGCCAGGTGGAAGTACTGCGAGTTGGCCTCGATGGCCTCGTGGCCCCACTTCATGCCGGCCGCCAGGAACCAGGTGAGCGACAGGATGACCCACCAGATGGAGCTGGCCATGCCGAAGAAGTAGAGGACCATGAAGAGGATGGTGCACCCCTCCTTCTTGGTGCCCTGCGCCACCGTGCGGTAGCCGTCGTCGGAGAAGCGCTCCACGCACACTGCGCGGTCCTCCAGCAGGAAGCCGGCCACGTGCGCCACGGCCACCATGAAGTAGCAGCCCGACAGGAAGATGATGGGCCGCTCGGGGTAGCTGAAGCGCCTCATGTCCACCAGGTAGGTCAGGACCGTGAAGAGCGTGGAGGCGCAGCACAGCACCGACCAGACGCCTACCCAGAGGCGGGCGAAGCGCCGCTCCTCCTCCTTAAAGTACATGAGGCCGTTGGCGCGGCCAGGCTCGCACGGGGCGCCGCAGTCGCGCTCGCCCAAGAAACGGTAACCCAAGTAGGGGGGGACCTTGAGCTGCCGGGGGCATGAGAAGGGAAAGGAGGACCTGCCCCTGCTCTCAGCCGCCCCCGGGGGCAGCGCGGTGAAGGGCAGGTCGGGCAAGTAGGGCGCGGTGGGGTAGGCCGTGGGGCCGCCGCCCGGACCCCCGGAGCCGTCGGACGTGTTCTGGCCCACGCAGATCTCGCCGGCGCCGTGCACCGGGAAGTTCTCGCAGCGCAGCCGCTCTGGCCACTGGAAGCCGAACTTGTTCATGAGCGCCTCGCAGCCCTGGCGGGCGCGCTCGCACAGGGAGCGGCACGGCGGGATGGCCTTATCCAGCACGGTGCACACGGGCGCGTACATGGAGCACAGGAAGAAGCGCAGCTCCGGGGAGCACTGCACCTTCACCAGCGGGTAGAACTGGTGCACCTCGAGGCCCGCATCCTCTTGGTTGGTGTGGCCCAGCAGGTTGGGCAGGATGGTCTGGTTGTAAGCGATGTCCGTGCAGAGCGGGATGGAGATGAGCTGGCAGAAGCCGTGGTCTGGCACCGAGATGCCCTTCTCGCCGTGGTACGGCTGCGCCCCGGCGCCCGCGGACAGCGCGCCTAGGAGCGCAAGCGCCAGGGCGCATAAGCCCCCGGGAGAACGCGGCGTGGCCGCGCCGGCGCCCCGCATCGCCGGCCGTGGGTGCAGCGGCGCTCTCAGCTGGAGGATCGCGACGAGGCAGCCGAGGGAGGCTCGGATCCGGGGAGGCGCCACCGCGCCCGGCGCATGAGAGTCCTCCCGGCGCCGGGGCCGGGCCGTGGGCGGCGCGGAGCCGGGGGCGCTGCAGCTGGAGTGCCCGCGCCGCGGGGGCGCCGCCGCCACCTCCGCCCAGCAGTCGCGCCGCCGCCGCCGGGGGACCAAACTCTTCGGCTCGGGCCGGGCGCGCCGCCTTCTCCTCCTGCCGCGACGTAACGGTGCGGCTTTTCCTGCGGCGAGGAGCAACAAGCGTCTCCAGTTACTCCCCTTGAAAGTTTGCCCAAGTCTCTCGACTCACAGCGCACAGCAACGCGCGCGCCCCCCACACCAAGCCCAGCCCCCGGCGGGCGAGGACCCGGCGCCGCCGCCTGCGAGCCAAGGCCGCCGCCGCGGCGGTGCTGCTCCGCCTCCTCGCCTCGAGGCTCGGCTCGCCGCCGCCTCCTCCTTCGCCTTCTTTTCAACTCCCCGCTCTTTCTTCGGCCCCCAAGGCTCGGCCCCAAGTTTCAGCCGAACGGCCGCTTCTCGCTCTGAGTCCAATCGGTGCCTTGGAACCAAGAGCTCAGTGAGTTCTTTTTCGAAATCCAGTTACACGGAGTCCGCAGCTGCGAGGTCCCGGTGCCCGCGGCCTGGGCCTGGCCTCTCCAGCCCTGAGCAGCCCTGGCCCGTGAGTCCCGGCGCCCGGCGCCCGCCGCCGCCCGCCCGCAGGGAGCGCAGAGTAACGCCTCGCAGCCGCGCCGCTCGCCAGAAGAAGCGTCGGGCTCGCGGGGTCCCGGGCCGCCCCGCCCCCTCCCCTCCCCCCATTCACAAACCACTCCGGGGGCGGGCCCTCGAGGTCCAGGGCTGCCCAATGGCAGCCTTTGTTTTCTGTGCGGCCGCCTTCGGATTGGGTGGAAGTCAGAAGGGGGCCGGCGAGGGAACCTGAGAGGCGGTGTCTGCAGCGCTCTGGGCGGATTCCTGCGGGGAGGGGCGGGGGGCTGGGAGAGAAAAGTTAAAAACTTTTACCCCTGAATTCGCTCGGGTGTTGAGGGGGTACGCGCACCAGAAAGGGAGTTTGCTTGAGAGATTTGTTCCTCTTCTGGGTGCACTAAAACACACATCCCTGAATGGCGCATCGGGATAGACTTTTGCGGGGAGAAGCTGAGAATAACACAGCGCCTGAGCAGAGAGAGTCGCGGTAGCCCTTCTGGGTCTGAAAATGCTGGGTTTCTCTGGACTTTTAGGCAGCCGGGTCCTACTAGCAGGGTTCGGTAAGGGCCGAAAGGGGGTGCACCTCGCAGATCGCTTTTCTCTCTCCAGACCCCAACACACCACGTGAGGCCACAATCCCCTCTCCCCGCTACTCCGGGTTGTAAAAAAGGAGGAGGGGCCGCAGCGAGGAGAAAAGGGAGTCGAGAGGAGGGAGACGACTAAGGCGGGAGGAAGGGCAGACCCCTCCTCCGAGAGCGGCGGGAGCAGGGGACCCTGGCCCCGGACTACCTCGCCCGCGCGCACGGCCCAGAGTACAGGGTAGCTTTAGTGAGGTTATAAGAAAACTAAGCGTTGGGGGTGAATGGTTATACAAGTACCTCGAGCCCGAGTGCCTAGGAACACTCTGTACGGGTTAAAGCGAGGTTTCAGTGGCCCTGTTTTCCCATCTTAGTTGCAGAAGCAATACTTTGATCCTCTGTTTGGAATCTGGGAAGAAAAGTTTTAATGCGTGTTAGAAAACAGGGCATTTGCTAGTTAAAGAGTTTTCAAAAACACAAAGAGAGGTAATTTTAGTTCTCGGGTAGCGTTTTCTGATTGGCAAGCGTCCTTTTGTTCCGTCACATCTTCGCCCCGCTCCAGGCACTGGACGCCAGCGCGCGCTCTCGGGTTCCTCCAGGCGAGATCGGAAGTTACCGCGCGCGGGCGGGGGTCCCGGCGCCTCTCCCCTCTCGCGGGGCAGCCGGGAACATCAGGCATCCCCACGCAGGAAAGTGACATGTTGAGAAAGGAAAGATCTGCCACTCTCTGTCGCACACGCACACGCAGTCACAGAGCAATCCTATACTTTAACAAACGTTCCTCCTGGCCGAGCCCTTCCTCCTGGCGCTGGAGCCCTGAGGGGTTTCTGATCGGGTTTCGTGTTTGCAGAAGTTGCTGCCTCTGCTGCCCCCGGTGAGCCTCTTCTCTAGCGAGGAAAAAACTGATCCCGAAATCTAAGAGAATTAACTGGGTTCCTTCCCTTTCACGGGAGACTTGGGCTTCCTCGGTGTTCCTTTTATTTTCTTTATTTCCACAGTTCTTTGTCGTTCCCCACTCCTGTTAATGCGACTGGAGGGCTGAATCACTTGGGCCAACGTAAGGCACCAGACGCTCGCATTTTTCCATCGGACCCTCAACAGGAATCCTCATCGTTTTCTTCCAAAGCATCCGTCTCCCCCTCACATCCACGACGGCATGTTTAATTTACTTGGGCGTTTCTGCCTCAAGGTAATATGAAGGATTAATGACATTTGCTTCTAAAATGTCTCATTTCTTCCTTGTATTTTTTTAAGGGCTCCTCTTTTTTCTTCCTAAATTGATATTCTTATTACCTAACCTTGGGCAGCATTGATGCTGTGTTGAAAGATGTTGCTTAAAGATAGTGCTGCTGCTTTGCTTTGTCATTTAAAGTGTGTGGTGGTGGTGCTGGTGGTGCTGGTGGTGGGGTGGGGGTGGGGGTGGGGGTGGGGTTGAAAATCCTTTTTTCTCTTCACAAGCTTCAGGATATCCTCCTTTTCTAAATCATATTTTCTTGCTTATTCATTAGGCCCCTGATCTAAGTCACCTCTGCTTATTGTGGGAGAAATTGCAAGCACCGTCATTAAATAACATGAAAACCAACAGGATAAAATACTGTGTCTCAAATGCAACTAAAACCAGTTTAGTTGATGAGGCTTCTATTCAGATTATAGACCCAGACAGCTCCCTGGTGTTAGGTAATAGGGATAATTATTTAAAAAGAAAAGCACAAAAGATGAATCAAATATTTTAAAACCAGTCTACACATAAGATGCAGAAAACCCATCCCAGGTGGAAAAGATCACAGAGGAGTGTCTTCTTGCTGTGTCCCAGGCAGACAAGTATAAAAAACAGAGAAGCAAAACCCAATCCAGTGGAGAGTGTTTTGTTTTTAAGATGATTAAAAAACACACACACACCTCACTCCAAAATTATTCTGGAAAAATCAGAATTTGCTCTTTGTGAGAGGGTGGGGTAGCCTCCCATGCCAAACCTGATATAGAATGTTAGGGTTTCCAGGAGCTAGGTTAGAACAGGAAAGTGAATTCGCAATTTGGCTAACAAGTCTGTTTTAGCTTCTTTGAGAAATGTAGTAACATTGGTCCACATTCTGCCCAGGATCAATTTAATGTTCTTTTCCAAGCAACACCTTCCACCCCCAATTCCTGAAGCCACTAGCTGGTATCTTCCTTGGTGAGCTGAGGGTGGAAAGTTTTGTAACTGTTTGCTGCAGAACTTCCCATTGTCCCTGCCCTTTAAAACAGCAAAGGCTTTTATTTCTTCACGTCACAGCCATATGGCCCCACAGAAAAGTGATGCTACTCTTTGGCCCCAGTTATTTAAGTGCTACTTATTTTGGCCAAGTCCCAGGTTCATCTAGTTGAATTACATTCTGATGTCAGGCCAGATTTGAAAATGGCCACCTTCGTGGTGCCACAATCCTGTGGTTGTAGCGAAACTCCAGCTGCAAGAATTACTCATGCAAGACCAGAAAGGGCAGCTTGCAGCATCGCGTCTACTTCCCTTTCTGGCCTCTCTTTTACCAGATAATTTGTGACTTCATAACATAGAGGACTTTTGAGTTGCCAGTTGCCAGGTTGCCATTGACTTACTTCCTTTCCGTGTAGTTTGGGGTGTTGGATCAATCTCAAAATGGAAACGGTCTTACCCTGAAAGCAGACTTTTAAGTGTTATGAACATTAAAGATTGAATAAGAGGAGGCCACGCTAAAGTCCTGTTAGGAGTGCGAGGCCCCACCCAGTGGAGGTGATTTATATCATGAAAATGTTTGATATTGCCTTTGTGACTTGAGGGTTGCATTAGTTATCTGTTGTCATATGACAAATTACCTCAAAATGTAACAACTTAAAACAACAAACACTATTGCACAGTTTCTGTGGGTCAGAAATCTGGGTGTACTTAGTGGGTCTTCTGGCTTGGGGTCTCCCATGAGACTACAATCAGAGAGTTGGTTGGGACTATAGTTACCTCAAGGTTTGATTCAGGAGGATCAGCTTCCAAACTCACTCATGTGGCTACTGGCAGGCCTCAGGGTATCCATTTCCAACTCATCACATGGCCGTTGGCAGGCCTCAGGTTCTTGCTAGCTGTCGGCCAAAGACATCAGTTCCTTGTGATGTGGGCATCTCATAAGGCCAGTTAAAACATGGTACCTTGTGCCCTGGCCAGTGTGGCTCACTTGGTCCAGCATTGTCCCTAGCACTGAAAGGTCGTCAGTTCAATTCCTGGTTGGTGGTTGGGGCACATGCACAGGCTTTGGGCTCAATCTCCGGGTCGGGGTGTTTGGTAGGCAGCCAATCTCTCTCTCTCTCTCTCTCTCTCTCTCTCTCTCCTTCACTCTAAAATAAAAACATATTTAAAAAACATGGCTATTCTGGATTAGTTTCCTCAAGAAAATAAATTACATAAATAAGAAAAAAATGAATAAACATGGCACCTTGTTCCCCCAGAGCAAGTGCTGAGAGAGAGCGAGAGAGAGAGAGCGAGAGAGAGAATGAGGGGCAGAGAGCTCTCGAAAAAAAAAAAAGGCAATGGAAGGCGTAGTCATTCTGTAACCTAATTTTGGAAGTGGCATCCTGTCACTTTTGCCATATTCTATTCATTAGAAGCAAGTCACTAGGTTTATCCACACTCAAGGGACAGCAGGGGCTACATGTGGGCATGGAAATCCATTGAAGGGTGAGGACCACTGGGAGCCAATTTAGAGACTGTTTATTATAAGTATTATTCATTCACTCCCAAAGTACTATGGAAGTGAGGCCAAAGAGAGAAACAACTCTTGGGTCTCTGCCCTCTGGGAGTCCGGAGAAAAGTTCACAAATAAAACCATATGTTGATTGGTTCTGACACCACTTGCCTCTGTTCAAATCAGAACAGAGCTCTAACTCTGGCCAACTGTTTTTTCCAACACATGCCATTGGACTAGAGGGAGAAAGAACGCAGAGGAAGTTAGTTAATTGAAGACCACACACAACCCCGGGGAGAACCTCCAAGTGCAGAGGGTGGGACGATTTGGGTTGTGAAATCTATACTCAAAGGACAGAACGTTAGAATGTAGCATGTAGAAAGAGAGTTTGGGTATTTGGGTTGTGAGGTAAAAGTACCTTCGGTGATTGCCACCCATGCCTAGTCTGTAGGGTATTGTATTGATGGATAGGAAGGGTGTCAGAGGTAGTACAGACCAGTTTAGTTCTGCTTTTCAGCATCGATTTTCTGCCCTGCCTCAGGCAAGTCACTAAACCTCCCAGGGTGCTGTGAGAATTAATGAAATAATATTTATAAGATTTTTTGTGGTCTATGGGCAAAAACATCAAGAGGGCAGAATCCTGGTTTATTTTATCTTTATGGATGCAAATCATAGCGATAAAATAAAAGACCAATTTAGGTGCATATTTTGTGGTTTTGGTTTTTTGCTGAAGTTGTAACTTTTTACAGTGGTATGTTGGTAAATGTTTAATGACCAATTTTATAGGATGAAATCCCTGATCTATATACATTTGCCAATTTCCATGGTGTAAATACTGCTACTAGCACTGATTACCAAACAACTGAACTTGGAGTTTGGAAAAGATGGACAGCAGCAGCTCTGACAAACCTCAGAGAGCTGGCTGTAGCACACACCACTGGGTGAAAACGCACATCTCTTCTGACTGTCTCCTGGTGGATGGGCCCACAGCTGTGGAAGGCTGACCTCCAAGGATTAGTGCCAGCCCAGGAGAGGCATCCATTCAGGGTTGACTAACAAGGCTTAGCCTTGCAGCCACCTTCCTCTTGCTCATGTTTTAGATAGAATTGAAAAAGATACCTCCTAGGATTGCAATTGATACTGAGTGATTGCAAACGTGTTGCAGGGTAGGAATTATCGGTAAAGACCCAGGAGATCTCTTCCTCATGAGTCGTTAGGAGAAATATATGCTCTAAAGCATATAAGGTCCTTAACATGGTGTGAGGCTGCCAGTTGTTCCCCAATATCTGTTCTTCCCTTCTTCCATAGTAATAGAGTTCCTAGTCTTTAGCGAGACATAAAACCACTGGAAATAAAGACTCCATATCAAAGCCTCCCTGTGTCCATCTACTAAGTCTGGCCAGTGGAATATCGGCTGCAGTGTTCTGAGCAACACAAAGGGAGTAGGCGTACTGTCCTTCCCTCCTCCTGCTGGCTGGAACTCCAGAGGCTATTGTAGACATAAGATAATTTTGGGAAAGGAGAGAAAGATAGAAGGATCCCGAACACTGTAGTGCACCTGACCAGCCTGGGATTTCTCAAACAGGAGATCAAAATAAACATTCTTTTAAAATAAGCCAACATTATTTTAGTTTTTTTGTGTGCCTCTCAGCCACGCCTAATCCTAACTTATCTCATATTGCCTGGCGCATAGTAGACATTCATCAAGTGTCAGTTTTCTTCACCATCTTCCTTTGAAGGTTCCACAGCTCTTGTGATATTACTTGTATGCTCTCTTGTATTTTCGTGCTTACCTTACCCCCAACCTATTCATCTGACTAAAGGTATTTGAGAGGAGAATCTGTGCCTTGCTGTTCTCCTTTGCCTTTCACAAGGTAGACGTTTGATTTGTTCAACCAAATGGTGCAATTCATCGGTCAGATGAAGTCCAGTGAAAATAAGAAACCACGAATTGCAGAAATGCAGGATGGTGCAAGACTGAGCATGGAACACAAGGTCTGGGAGTCACAGCTGAATATGTCAACCATGTCCCATTAACTGTTCTTTTAAGTGGCATGTAAATTTGGGATGCATGAAGTAAATTAAGTGGCATGAAGGAACCAGCAGGAAGAGTAGCCCAAATAAGCAAAACAGATGATTCTCAACAGGAGTGTGGGTGTGGGTGGTGGTAGAAGGATTTCATTTTTTTGAAAAATAGACTTTCAAAAACTACTTCCTAGCCCCTACCCGTGGAGAATCTGCCCACAATCTCCCCATGTGCATTAATGTGCAGCCAGGATCCAAAATGGGAAGACAAGGTGAAAATATTTGGTTGTTTCACTTTGAAAAATATATGAAGTCATTTAACTGTCTTCCCAAGTGTATGCAAGTTTATTTTGAGATGGATGTGGTGCATTTCTCTCTCCCCAGGATCAGAGGGAAGGCTCTAGTTTCAGCCAGGGGAAATGAGGAGAATCCTGGGGGTCTCCTTCCATCACTAACCTCTGGGCCCCGGGCAAGTCAG